TTTTTAATTTAAGAGGGTAGCTGCTGCATTGAAAATATCACGGCGTACAGTATGTACAATTAAAAAATGAAAAGAGAGCAATTCTGTCCTTTCAAGTCCTGGCAAAAGTAGACGTCGTCGTAAAAGCAAGACATCTGATCTGCCTGAAGGAACTAAAATGGCAATACGAAACACTCTGTACAATATGTACCTACAAAGTTAGTATAAGTCAATATTGTACATATTCTATATAATCCTGCGAATTATATATGGTCCTTGCAGGGACAGCGTGACAAATGAATGGAAGAGCAGATACAACAATAAAATAGAGACTGTCTTTGGGAAAGGAAACATCGTAAGATACATAAAAGCCAATAGATTAAGATGGGCAGGCCACGTGGTACGGAGTGATGACGACAGACTGATTAGCAATGTGTTTTGGGAAAGACCAGATGTAAAAGATCGACAGGAAGGCCTAGAAAAAGGTGGAAAGACGCTGTCAGGAAGACCTGGAGAAGATGGAAGTAAGGCCATGGGAAATAATAGCACAGGATCGGAATCAATGGAAGGCAATAGTAAACGCGGCAAAAACTCACGAAGAGTTGTAAAAGCCAATGATGATGATGATGAATATTGTACAAAATAAAAACGATCTGGTTTATACCCCAGCAAATAGATGTTTCACATCAAAATTAACACTTCTAAAATAAAGTTTCACTATTATTACTAGTTTTTTTTTAGAAAAGCTAGTTCGTCTATAAAGTTTAAAATGTGAAGTAAAGGAAAAAAAAGCTATTACTATGGGAATAACATCCTTAAGCATTATACTGAGAGATATAGAATTTAAATATAAAAGGATGAAAATCGAAGATCGTTATTCGAACGAACCAATATTGCTGCTTTAAGAGCAAAATTCTTTCGTAAGTACTTTGAAAACCTGGAAAGAGTGAATTTAAGAGAACTTGTTTTTTTTGGATAAAACATGGATTTATTCAAAAAGAAATAAAACAACTTTCTGGCAAGACACTAGTAGCAAAAGTGTGCGTAAACCAGAAGGTTTTGATGGTAAACGTTTCACAATTGTTCACGCTAATTTTTTTGAAATATTTGCTTCTAAAGCAAGTTTATTATTTTGTTCTAAGTCTAAACATATTGATTACCATGAAATGAAATAAACAAAGACATTTTTACTAAGTGGATAAGGATACAAGTAATTCCCAATTTATAAGAACCGTTGTTGATTGTAATGGATAATGCTTCATATCATAGAGTTCTTTTAGAAAAGCAACCTATCACTGATTCAAAGAAATATGAAATTGTTACCTAGTTGACAACAAGGAATTTGACCCAAAATTAACAAAACCTGAATTACTACAAGTTGCAAAAATGAATAAAAAAGAAAATGTGTATGTCATTCTTAAGTTACTAAGAGAGCATGGTTATAAAGTGTTGAGACTACCTTCTTATCATTACGAATTCAACGCTATTGAATTAATTTGGGCAAATTGCAAGTCATATTACAATAAGCATATTGGTACGGACAACTATTGTGATAGTGCTGTTATAAATATGTAAAAAGAGGCGCTTAATCAATGTAATGGAGACATTTGGGACAAATGTGTAAGGCATACTCATGAAATTATTCAAAAGTGGTATGTCCAAGAGCAAAATATAGTTGATATTGATATTCAACTCATCATAATAAATCCTGAAGATAGCTCGAATTCTGAAAGTGAAGGAAATATATAATTTTGATATTTTGTTTTTTTTTTCAATTTATTTTAATAATTTAGTCATTTAGTCATATTTGTGGAAATAGATTGTAATAAAGTAATTGATCCATTTTTAGGATACAACTATGAAACCTTTTACACATAACTTTCCACACATTATTTTGGAAACTACAGAGAAGTTCGATAGACAAGTAAAAAAAACCAGCTAGTATAAAAAATAAATATTAAGTCTCTAGGAATGCAACATTGTGACCCTTAAGTTTTCTACAAATTAAGATGTTTTACAAATTTTTCTTTTTCCATTGTTTTTATTGTTTTGTTTTGTAAAGCTTAATTAATTTTTTTTGTTAGTTAGTTCGAAAAGCATGCAAGAGTTTTTTTATCTTTTAGGGCATTTTCTTATGCTTAAGCTTAAAAATTGAATGGCATATCGATCGTTCGGAAGAAAAGGGTTACAACTCGAAAAAACTACTTTTGCAGGAGAAGGGTTTTAAGTTTTTTTAGGAGTTATTTTTTTATTTCCTAATCATTAATTAATAGAATTTTTTGCTTTTTATTTAAATAAGTAGGCTAAGTCGGGTTTAATTAAATGACATAATTGTGATTTTTCAAACTGTTTATTTATTGTTATAAAAAAATACATGCAACGGTTTTGAATTAAAAATTAGTAAATGTTTATAATCTGTAACATTATTAATCTAATTGATAATTATTGAATACACACCTAAAATCATAAAAAGAATTAAATTAAATCATTACAAATTATTGTAAAAATCAAGATAATATGGCGGAACGCATTTTTTCTGTTCGACTAATGATATCAAACGTGTTTTTTTGCGTCTGATATTCCTGGTTTCGTGGAATATGCGTTTTTTATTTGGATTTGTTCTATATTAACAATTTTTCTCGATCTAATAACTTCCGCTTGGCAGAAATCTGTATCTTCAAAAGAATTTTTATAAAATAATTTGTTTGGATTTTGTTTTCTAATTTGATTACTCTAAATGACGCAGTTTTTACATTTTTAGGGATATTCACAAACAAGTCAGAAGTTAATTTTTTTAAATCCATAATGTCCTTAAAACAAAGTTCGTTTACTTTGTATGTTTTTCCAGTTTTTGTTGCTGATCTCATAATGCAAGCATACTGATCGGGAACGTAAATACGGCTTGATTTTCTGTATAATTTATTTTAAGCCAACATAACTTTTGTCACTATTTCTCAACTGTTTTGCTATATATTTTTGCCATAAGCCCTAATTTCTTAATCGTTTTTTTTTTCTGTTTTATACGGATCAAGTAATTTTCTGTTTTTTGACAACTTAATTTTTTCTACTTCTCTACTTGAACCAATATTATCAGAATCTGATTACGATTTAATATAGTATGGATCCTTAACACCGTCATCAGATCCAAACGGTTCATTTTAAGAATCTAATGAGTCACTACTACTTGTTGAAGAACTTGACGAAGAGTTCGATGACGAAGATGAACTGCTAGTAGATGAAGCAAATGAATAATTTTGTGTTTTTTCTATAACCAAATTCTGGACATCTAAAACCAAAATTAAGTTAATAGAAAAAATATCACTTCAAAACTTCAATTTATCTGTAACATTCTGGTTTGCATTAGACACGATTGGAATATGTAAAGTTTCTTGCTCTTTTTTCTTTGAAAGAATAGCATCTTTATTGACTATGCGATTTTCACTACTTTTCAATATATCAAGTTCTTCGATCTCATAGTGCATTATTTCTGGTATGTCTTCAAAGTAAAATAAGTCAATAAGGAAATATAATGTAATAATGTAAATTTACCTGATAATTTCTGACTGTTAGAATCAGTATTGGCCGAGAAATTGTTACTGAACTTTAACGGATCAATTTCTTTGATCCCATATTGGGAGACATCCGTTTCCAAATCTTATAGTAAATCAGAACGACACCCGGCAAGTATCCTTTGGGTTCGGTTTGTGTATGCCATATTTAAGACTACGTGATGATAGAAATTAAATAAGTTCGCTAAAAATCCTTAATTTGGCAACAAACATTGTCGTTTGTTAGACCAAAATTTAAAAAATCATTAGGTCAAAAATGCAACACCCTCGGAAACTGTATTCAAAACTCCTTTGTTAACTAAACTGGTTAATTTTGTCAAAAAAACCGTCACAGCTTTTTTTATAATTATTCGAACTTTTAATGGGGACACACAAACAATTTTTAAATCATATTATATCTGGATTTGCAACAAAACAGGTATTTAATATTTTTTTCGTGCACCTAAATAATTGAAGGTCTAATATATTATCGTAAAAAATTACAAAAAGTATTAAGAAAAGTGATACATTATGACATTAACCAAAGACTGTGAATAAACTTAACACAAAAGTTGATTCAAACGTGTAACATGTCATTATTTTACAGTAATTATTAAAAAATTAATCAAGAAAAACGCTACTTTTTGACATAAGACATAGTCTGTGAATAAATTTACTAAACAAGTAAACAATATCGAATTTTTTGCAATAATATCGAATGCAATCGAACAATTTGCAACAATAACCTTTTTCTTGTAAATTTTTTACTGCCACACCACAATATTGGTGACAAATTGAGATATAACGATTTTGTAGAAAATATTCTGTGAAAAATGCAAAAATCCCTGTGGTACATGCTGACATCTTTTGGCTGGTAGTAAATATTCTCTCGAAACTTAATCCATTCCTAGTAGTAGGCACCTTTTTAGACAGTTTAATGAAATAAAGTGAGTAATGAACCTTTTTGAGATGTAATCCTTTTCTTCCGAACGATCGATATGTATACGATGTAAATGTTTAATATTGTATTTTGAATGAATTTTTTTTTCCATCCAGTAACTGGCTTCGGCTTTTGGTGTATAAATTCGGATGATTTGGTGTATAACTAAATAAATAAATATAAGAATTTAAGCTGTTTGATCTTGGGCCCATCTTTCTTGACTACAGTCTTGTAAACAAAGTTTTCAGTGTTTTATTGTTACAACTATAATTATTTTTGCTATTCCTACTCTTAAACACTATTTTTTATAATTTCAGTTGAAACAAACTTTACTATTCGCTCAAAACAAGTAAAAGCGAGTGAAATCTAGTGACCGAAGAGACCATATGATGCTGCTTCTCCTTTCAATCTAGTGCATAGAAAATTGTATTAAAAAATATCTATATTAACTTACAATAAGGCTACTTGGAAACATAAGTTATGTCATTACTTAAAAAAAAAACAAAAACATTTTGTTGATCAATAAAGCACGTCTAAAACGATGCTTTAAACTGCAACAGTATAATCAGATATGTAGATATGTTAGCGAAAAAGGTGGGTAATATGCGCCTGTTAACTTTGAAAAATCCAGCAGCTGAAAATGTTGGTCTTAATTCTTTAGCCATATCGGCTAGCATAACAGCCTTCTTATCACCTGTGTCGATATAAATATAAGTGCAGATTCTGATGAGTTCGTCAGCCTGTTGCTCCACTTCATCGCATGACATGATGATAATAACGGAATATACCTAAAAAAAGACCTATATTTGTATTAAAAAATATATATGTAACAATAAAACACTTAAAACTTTGTTTTCAAACTTCCACAAAATTTATTTTAACTATTATCACTACAGCTGTTTCGGCTGATAGCCTTTCTCAAGTGATCTATTTTTGGCATGCGTTTACAATTTATAGTCTCTAATGAAATAGGTTGAGGAGGGGAGAACTGTTTGTCTCAAGTTGGTCATTCAGAATTATATCTGTGTTTTTTAATTTATTGATTTCCATAGATTCTAACAAAGATAGCTTAAGGCCTTTATTTTGAACGTGAAGAATTTTAAATTTGTCATTAAAAGAATGATTATGATCTAGAAGGTGAAGTGCGTATGTCGAATCTGTTTTTCTATTCTTGAAAGCCCTTTTATGTTCTGCTATTCGTTTCTCAAAGTTTCTACCAGTTTGACCGATGTAAGTTTTTGGGCAGTCGCCACATTGAATTTTATACACACCACTATTTAAGTGTTTTTTTATTTTGGCTCTTGTTATTTTTAATATATTTACCTAGGTTGTTATTTGTTCGGAAAGCTGGTGTTATTCCTTTCTTTTTTATATGTTTGGCAATTTTGTTGTTATTTTGCCTGTATATGTAATCGAGCAGAAGGTACTGGGTTTTTTCTCTGGTGGTGGAAATACTATTTTCAGGGCTTTCTTGTGTAGTTTTTGATTTAACATTTTATTAATTGTTTGTTCGTTGTATCCGTTGTTTACTGCTATTTGCTTAATTATATTTAATTCTGTCTCAAAGTTGTCTTTTGACATCGGAATTTCTGTTAATCTATGTAACATACTATGATAAGCTGCCAGTTTATGTTGTGTTGGATGGGATGATGAATTGTGTATAGTCGTGTCAGTATGGGTAGGTTTGTGAAATATAGAGAAGTCATGTTTGTTTTGAAGTCTGCTAATTTTTAAATCTAAAAAATTTATGCATTGATTTTGTTCTGTTTCTATTGTAAATTCAATATGACTATGAAGTGAATTAATATACGATGAAAATTGGTCGAGTTGCCTGTTAGTTCCTGTGAAACATACCAGTACGTCGTCTACGTATCTCCACCAATATAAAAACTGTTTGAATACGGGATGTTTTGAAATCTTTGTCTCTAGATGATCCATAAAAATATCTGATAGCAATGGGCTTAGAGGATTACCCATTATAAGTCCTGCACTGTTATTTGTATATATTTTATTATTAAATTCAAAGTAGTCCTGGTTTATGCAAACTTCAAGAAGATGTAATATTTCAGATGTAATTACTGGATTTGTACTATTTTGGTCTAAAAGGTTTTTTACTAGAATAAAAGTTTCTGTAGGAGGGATACTAGGAAAAAGATTTTTTACGTCAAATGAAATTAATCTGGAGTTGTTAGGTAATTGAAAATGTTGTATTTTATTAACTAGTTCTATTGTATTTTTTATGGTGAATTTAGGTGAAAATTTAGTGTGTTCTAAAATAATCTCTAACAGTTTTTTGGAAAGTTTATATGACGGAGCTGTATAAAAAGAAACTACAGGTCTTATTGGGTGATCCGGTTTGTGTAGTTTAATGAAAGAGTATAATTTAGGAGGCTGTGGGTTCATGATATTGAGGTATTTCTGTTCTATTGGATTTAGTATTGCTTTTGAATTTTCTAACGCTAGCTTAATTTGTTTTTGATATTTTTCTGTCGGATTTTTGTGTAAAGTTTCAATATTTTGATTATTTAAGAATTCTATTGTTTTGTTATTATATTCTATTTTATCTATAGCAATAGTAGTGTTACCTTTGTCTGCTTTTGTAAACACAATGTTGTTTTCTATTGATTTATTTTTAATGGAAATTGCTGTTGTATTCTCTTTGTAACATGAATTCTTAGTTTCACTACACACATCTGTAATAGATTTGGCAATTATACTTTTTTCGATATTGTTAACAGTTTTGTTTAACGCTACTTCACATTCTACACCTAAATATTCTAAAGTTCTCTCATTATTATGTTGGGCAAGTTGTGTTTAAATCCTTTCTCTAAAAGTTGTATCTCACTGTTACTAAATTTAGTATCTGTTAAATTTATAAATCTATTGAAAAAAGTATGGTTCGAAAAACTTTTTGTATAATGAATATTGGGTTTTTTACTATTGGAAATTAGATTATTTAGTTTTTTACACTGTGTATTGAATTTTTTATCTATTATATTATCTATATTAATTCTCACGTTAGAATCTAGGATGTCAAATTCTATATTATTTAATCTATAATTTAATTCTGAATGACATACCTTAAGATAAACAGATATAAAATCTCGCTTTTTGTACTGGTATTTTCTGTCTTGTTTAAGCCATCTGGTCTGACGCCAACTTTGAGAAACGAATAGCAGAACATAAAAGGGCTTTCAAAATAGAAAAACAGATTCGACATACGCACTTCACCTTCTAGATCATAATCATTCTTTTAATGACAAATTTAAAATTCTTCACGTTCAAAATAAAGGCCTTAAGCTATCTTTGTTAGAATCTATGGAAATCAATAAATTAAAAAACACAGATATAATTCTGAATGACCAACTTGAGACAAACAGTTCTCCCCTCCTCAACCTATTTCATTAGAGACTATAAATTGTAAACGCATGCCAAAAATAGATCACTTGAGAAAGGCTATCAGCCGAAACAGCTGTAGTGATAATAGTTAAAATAAATTTTGTGGAAGTTTGAAAACAAAGTTTTCAGTGTTTTATTGTTACATAAAATGAATTTCCATCAAGTAACGGTCGAATCCATCAATTATATAAAAAATATATAGGTTGTTGAGTGTATTCATGATCTTCTAAAACATTAGTAGATAGGCTAAACATAGAACAAAATTATACTGGAACATAGCGTGCAGAGCCAAATGCTTGCAAAAATAAATGATAAGGGCTTAAATAACACAGACCAACAAAGAAAAAATAAGATGTATAAAGCTTTACATATACATTTCTGTGAATCCTATGTATTTTTTGTGTCTTAATTAGGCCAATAGCAAATATTTTTTTAAATATAGATATTATATATTAGAGGTCACCGTTCTCTCAGTCAAATCGTTTTCTCAGTCAAAATCGTCCACGCTATTCAGTCGGTAGTACCACATAGCAGCGTTAGGTATACTAGACACTTATTTGTTACGGTGCCGAAGTTCATTTATAAATTTGAGGTAAGTTATAAAATTACTAAAATAATACTTAGTAAGTGTAGTGTCCTAATAAAGCCAATTGACTGGCCTTATTAAGAGCTGGTGGACTTTACATATATTTCTGTACATAGTGACTTAAAATATTTTTTCTTTGCAGATATGTCCACCAGGAAAAGGGCACAGTGGACCGAAGAGGCCATTGAAGCTGCAATGAATGCCGTACGAGATGGCATGGCTGTTTATAAGGCAGCACTTACATTTAATATTCCTCGGCGTACGTTACGTAACCATCTAGCTAGTGGCAGTTCACAAAAACGACTTGGTCGGCGTCCAGTACTTACAAAACTCCAGGAAGAAGAATTGGTTAGACGTATAGGAAGATTGTGTGACGTTGGTATGCCATTAACCCCCAAAATATTACGAAAAAATGTGTATGCTTTTGTAAAAGAGGCAGGAATAAGGCATCCATTCTCAGTTAAAAAGGAGATAGCTGGAAAAAAATGGATGAAATTGTTTTTCTCAAGGCATCCTGACATTGCAAAGCGTCGGGCTCAAAAACTCAATTTGGCCAGAGCACAAAAATTGAATCGTGTAGTTATCAGTGACTATTTCGAGAAACTTCGACAGATTTTATATGAGAAGGGCTTCGCAGGAAAACCTGCTCAAATTTACAACATAGACGAAAAAGGATGCCAGCTTACGCTGCATCACCAACAAACTGTGTTGGCTAGTAAAGGTGCTAAAAGGGTCCATATTGTTGCACCAGAGCACGGCGAAAATGTAACAATCGTGGGATGTGGCAACGGCATAGGCAACAGCATTCCTCCACTTATCATTATGAAAGGGAAACGAGTTAAGCCAGAATGGTATTATAATCTTCCAGCAGAATCAAAAATTATAATGACCAAGAAAGGAAGCATGACAACAGATGCATTTATAGAGTGGTTAGATCACTTCTGCAGATTCAAAAATCCTGGACCAGCCCTTTTAATTTTTGATGGAGCTTCATCCCACTTAGACATTAGAATTGTAGAAGCTGCATTGAAAAAAAATGTAACTCTGTTTTGTCTACCGTCCAACACCACCCACGAGCTTCAACCACTCGATAAAGCAGTTTTCAGAAGTTTTGAGTCGTACTGGGATGAAGAGGTGTTAAATTTTTGGGTGAACCATAAAAATGAAAGAACCATCAACCGAGCAAGATTTGGGCAAATCTTTACGCCGGCTTGGAGAAAGTCAATGACACAAAAAAATATTTGTTCTGGATTTGAAGCAACTGGGATATGGCCATTCAATCCAAATGCTATTCCGGATGCTGCCTTTGCACCTAGCTGTCTAACACACCGAGAGATTGAACCAATGGCCGAAGATGCTCAAGAAAGTCCTATAACCGGACCAGAAATTGTACCGACTGCCCAAACCAATACACATTTCGAAGAACAGCCATCCTGCAGCAATGGCAGTGGTGTAAACCAAAAATCTAAAAGCAAAGCATTGTCGAATAGTGAAAAAAGGAAAATTAAAAAAAAACAGGACTGTATAAAGTTTTTCAAACTCAGATGAACATCTCAGATGAAGACAGCGACTCATCTGGGTCTTATACAAGCGATACAGCTTCCAGCGAGGATTATGAGAAGAGTGATGTAGTTTACACAGATAATCATGACAATAATATGGTGGCAAAACTAAGTGAAACAGAGCCATGTGAAGAGCTGAATGCAAGTTTTAGTTCCAGTGGTTTGCTGACTACACCGGAGTTGAAAGTATCAACAAAAAAGCGTCGACAAGCCATTAATG